AGAAGTCGAGAAGACCAAAGATGGGGGAGAGCGCAGGTGGTGTGCGCGAAACACACTCCAACACGCGCCACAAAAACACCCCCTTGCTAGGTAGGCTCCTGCGCAGAAGAGCCATAAAGGCCACATTAAGAAGAAGTCATTGAGCCTGACTCTGATCCCGCAGTAGGCCACTCTACACAACAAGATACAAACTGGGCCGACTGCGGTGTCCAAGTTATGTCATCAGTCGGCAGCCCTCCAAGCCACGGCTTTTGGCGCACCGCGATAGTTTCAAGCGCATCAGATTGTTTTTAGTGAGGAAAGAAATGGCCAACGGGGTGACCTCACTCTTTCCCCCACCGTCAGCAACAGTCCACCACCTAGCTTATCAGTCGCCGGAGGTGGGATGGGCCCAGTGCCACAAAGGAAAACAAGCCGGATATCAGCATTGTAGAGCAGGTTGTGCAAGAGAAGAAGAAGAGGAAAGAAAAAGAGTAAGAGAGAGTGCATTACTCACTAAAAACCGGTTCTGGTCCAATTTGAAACCATCACAATGCGCTAAATGCCGTAGCCTGGAAGTCATTCATCTAACTCGGCTCTCACAGTACGGCCTCTATGGTCCTCAGGCCCAGTTCGGATCAGAGCCAGCCTCTTGCTCTCTATGACAACCCGGTACGCGAGTCAGGTCGCGTGTGGCACGCGTAGATGAGCTGTTTGGCTTTCCCTGCTCAATAGCTCCTTCTTAATATGGCTTTTATGGCGCTCCAAGACGGGAGCATACTTAGCGAGGGGTGTTGTTGGTACGCGTGTTGAGTCTTGGTCGTGCCAGCCACCTGTGCCCTCCCCCCACCTCCGGTCTTCTGGACTTTTGTCTTGACATCGGGTCCCGGTGTGGAAGTGGTGAGAGAGTGGGGTAGATCCTCAGCAAGTCTTCTTTCACTATAATCCCATGGGAGTCACCGCGTTGCTTCAGCTTGGTGATACTCGTGATGGACATCGTCGAGAGCGACGGTCGAACTTTAGTGTAAACGGCGAGCGTGATAGATGCACTGGGCCAACACAAGGGCCAGATCGGGGTACGGCAGGCGTTATTCGGCTTGCGCTCCCATAACATATACCGAACACGGGGGAGGGGCGTAATGGCAAATATAGGGGGTGGCTTCGGCCGCGCCAGCCACCTGCGCCCGATCCATTCTCCAGTCTTCTTGACTCCCTTTCGACACCGGGCACAGATGGGTATGGGAAGAGAGAGTGCGGTCGATACGCGCGAGTCTACTGTCACTTAACACTAATTCATGCACAAGTCACTGCGCTTGCATTCAGCTCGCTGAAGCACGCGGTAGACATCTTCGCAATTAACGGTTGTTCCAGAAGACCGGATTGAGTAAGTCGGCATTCAGCTTGAAAACTTAGCCTGAGCCATTCCACAACCTTCAATTTTATCCCAAACATAACCCTAGTCATGATCCCGATCCTAATCCTAGCCGCAAATCTGAACGCCAACCTACAATCCTAACTCTAAGCAGCTTACCATGGATGAACCGTAGTATAACATACCTAAACTAAAAAAGTAGGCATATTATGTAAATACAGCCTTGGATTTACTTTCTCCGTCATTACCGGTGAGTTTGGTTGGTCAGTCTTCACAGGTAAACTATTCAGTTGATTTCCTCACATGTCTTGTGGTTGGCTGGCTAGTAGCCCTTGTGGAATCAGGAGCCCCGCCGGATTGGCGAGGAGGGGAAGTCGGAGCAGCGTGGTCAGGAGGGGCTGCTCCGTCGTAAAAAACAGAGATGTAGAAGAGGGGAGATAGATCCATCGTAGGGAGGTTTGGTGTAGCAGACCTTGGCCGCCGTGAGGGCGGGTGGGAA